AATGGGATGCAAACTATGGCGGAAACACGTTCTCATGCACACCATCAGATATGCTCCTATCGTACGCGCCCGCAAAGATGTTCCCGAAAAAGCAGCACATTTTTATCACCTCCAAACTCGACTCCCCAGATTTCTACATCCCTCCGGCTGCACCGTGATTACTTTTGTCCGTCCAGCAATTGCATGCGCCTGAACTCTCAGGTTCATTCCAGAAGTGAGAAAATCTCACTCACGACTGCAGTGAGATCTGTAAGAGCACGTATTAATAACAAACGTGGTTTGGAACACAGCCTCTCTGAACAGTATGTCACATGGCTCTCTTCATATGTCTGGATTAGGCCTTTTCCATTTCCCATAAGCCCGAGAACACCAGGGATAAGCATCACGGCTCAGCAGAGACGGGATGTGGTCAGTTTCACACATGTCTGCAATAACAGCAGGACGCAGCGCACAAGAGCTTCTAGAAGTTTTAGGACTGCAGAAATGACAACTAATAAGATGATTGCAGAGCAGGTGGTGCAGGAAGTGGGCTTTTGTTCATGCACACAAAGCAACTGTTTGTTTGTTACAACAGTCTCAGTCGGGCTGAAACATTTATCATAATAACACGTTTCACAGCAGCCGATTATCCAGCCAATCTTTTTTTTTTTATTGAAAAACAGTAGAAAAAAAAGGTTAATGTTGAAATTAACCAACATAATTCTAATGTAAACTTGTCAAAATGATTTGGAGCCTTATTTTGACAGTGAAGTCTCATAAGGGCCAGTTTCCTCTGTCTGCAGCCTCCACCTGGGGAGTTTCTGGTCGCAAATGAAGGCGATTCGAGGCCTCGGCGGACTAGCCCGCCTCAGGAGACCGGCGCCAAACCCGATAGGGAGAACAGGTAGGACGGTACGATAGACTGTTAATGATCCAGAGGAGGAGCGCGCCTGGAGTTTGCATTTCTACGATGTGCTTTCACTGCATTTAAGTGAAACCACTGAAGATTCTATCAAACATTTGGGTTCGGTGAGAGAGAGAGAGCCTTTCAGTCTCCAAAGCTTTTAGAGCAGCCTTCATCTTTCAATAAAATGTTCCATCTGCATTGATAGTTTCAAGAAAAACCTCAAGAGGTACATGTTTTCAATGGCTTTTGGCCGGGAAATTGATCTCACAAGTTGTTCTTTTTTTTGCCTGTTCAGTACTTTATACATGTTTTGTTTGTGTCACTAATTGAATTTACAAGTTTCATGTTGTTATGTAATAGTTTGCACATCACTTTTGCTGCTTAGCTAATGACACTTTGGTCATTTTGGACTCTCGTTGTTTTTAAAAGTGCTATATAAATATATTTGAATTTGATAGAACAGAATAGAAATGCTTTATTGATCCCCAAGGATAAGTTCTGTTGTTACAGTAGCAAGCAAAAAGTAAAGTAAAGCCACCAAATACAAATAAATAAATAAGCAGAAATATCTGGAAAAATATATTAAAGTAAAAAAATGCACAGTGAACTATAAAACATACTGTGACTATATGACTGTATATGTATCTACTATTACTGCCTTGCACACCATGCAGCAAACATTTCAGTTTCCTCCAGTGGAGTCTGATAAGTGGCGTCCAGCAGGCAGCCTCCTCTCTGGGCGGACATGAGGCTCGGCTGGTCGCCGTCGCCACACCGGCCACAACAGTACCACTGCTGAACATACACTAATTGGTAGCAGTATCAGGTCTGCTGGATACGGAGAGAGGGGAAAACAGCTCAGGCGAGAATTTATTGTGCCTGCGACAGACTATTTGCATACGCTAAATGAAATCCCCCATCAGCCAGTCAGACATACTGTACCTCTGCTGGTGAAGGATTAATGCTCTTCATGCTACATTCACCACATTCAGCCACAAGCTGCAGCTCACAGATGCAGGCTGCGAGTGACGGTGTTACAACCCAACACAAAAGCCCTTTGGAGGAAGCAGCTGAGCACGACCAGCCATACGTACGGCTCACACCTACATGTGCTGCTACACATGAAAGCGCTAATCCTGTGCATGTACACGATGACGCACGTTCCCACCGCCACAGACACACACACACAACACAGTTAAATCCCCCTGAAAGATGCTGGTAATTAGAAGGCATCAGAAAGCTCAGTATTTGAGTATTTAAATTATATTTCTTTGGTGTATCTCCAGGCAGCCCATATGGAAAGGTCATGTACACCAGAGAGAGAGCGGATGATGCAGGAACCCTGTCTCGCAGGGAGACGGTGGGAGTTTATGGTGTATTATCCTCATCTTTATTCACAATCTGTTTATTAAAGCCACCTGTCTCCCCCTAAAGCATTAGGCATAATAAACGTGTGCGGGGATGCAGGCCATGCAGCTTTCACTCAGAGCCATAAAGAAAGAGGGGAGGGCTGCTGTTTGCAGCTGCTGCTCCACCACAACAGCGTGCAGTGCAACACAATGTCACACAACAACACCGTGTAATGGAATGCATTGCATACTGACTTAGACAACTCACTGAACAGCAATGTTCAAAACGCAATCAAATCCCACATGAGAACACAGAACGCAGCACAGCATGTAAATAACCACGATGTCTTGTAACACTTTAACCCTCGTATCCCCAAGACGATTTGGTTTGTTTTATTCGCTCCTGTTACACTTTTACTCACTGTGGGCTCATTTTTCACCGCGGTATAGGACAAATAATATTAAAGTCGTAAAGTAATTAAGTCCTGCACCGCTACAGAAACAGCACAAGCAAGGCCAGAGGAAGAGAGACCTTGGAAATGTCCCCTGTGCAATGGGACACAATTATACAGGCATAATTAATTTAAGTTATTTATTTTACAACAGTTGAGAAAAAAAACCCCAAAAAACATCCAAGTGCCCACAGCTGTTACCAATGCTTGAAAAAAAAAAGGACACAGCCTGCAGTTCAGCTGACTTTAGCTGAAAAGTTCCTGGAATAGTGTCATGTGACTGTCACAGCAAGAACAACAATGACTTCACGGTTGTT